ATGTGAAGTCAGACACACATACCTTCCCCTGAACAGAACTAAAGCTTTTGAAATAAGACTTACCCAGACTCAAAATACCTCCTGAATTATACAGAGTTAAAAAGGTCATACCTTGAATCACTAGGAAGGAAAATGTTCTTTGTTTTCTAACTAAGGTCTGAGGTTTACCCTCTTTCTCAGAAATCATGAAGCTCTATCTAACCAGGCAATCAACTGTATGAATTTGTAAAAACAGTTACCAATATTTTATTATATTTATTTAGTGTCCATGTAAATTGTTCTAACATTAAATACATTCCTCAGATGGGTGAGCACCCTGTTAAACAAAGCTGATGATTATGATGGACAACTGAGTGTAGAATGTACTCCCCATCCCTCCAATTGGAGAAACTAAATACCTCCTGAGCCTTCTAAAAAGTCTCTTTGGCAGAAGTGACCCCATAAGAAAGCAAGGGCTACAGGTATCATTAATGTATCTCTGTTCAAAAGTAGACCTTATTAGCTTTTTAACTTGACTGCTGTAAAATATTACTCTAGAAAGGTTAGCTGTAGTCCTCTGAACCTATTTCTATAATGATCTCTATCATGCCTGCTCAACTTCCTTCTAGCTTTTGGCAAATTCTTCGATCACAATTACCTGAAAAATCTGAGGACTTCCAGAGATAACATGTCCACAGTTTCCACAAGGGCATAATTCCACATAGACTGGAGGAACTGAGGTTTAAAAAAAAATAAAGTATATAATTTTCCTCATCTACCTAGTGCTGTAGTAGCTAACCACTGTTATCTGGTTCTGACCAAGTGTGTATGTTTTTTTTAAAACCTAGACCAGTGGTTCTCAAATTCCCCATCCCCACCCCAGACCATTTGAGAATTGCTGAGGATATTGGTAGACTACTTAATGATCTTTCCCAAATATTGTTTCTACTACTGTGAAATGCTTTGGATAAAAGTGTTGTATAAAAATCCTGCACACCTCAAATTCCCCCTCTCACCCTACTGCTCCCCTTGTACTTCTTACTCCCCAACCTCAGTCCACTGTCCCCTTCCACCTTTCTGCGATTCTTCCCAAGGTCACCATGTAAGGGCCCAAGTACCTATTTAGTGAAGCCACACCTGTGAGCCACTCATTAGGTTGGCAACCCTTCATTCTCACATGTGTGGCCACCAAAGTACGAACTATCTGCAGACCACATGAATGGAGCTTGCAGACCACAGTTTGAGAACCTCTGTCCTAGACTACAACTTTGCCTGGACTCTCTAAGTATGGGGCTGACTATTTTTCTGATTTGATGGTGGATTCCTTTCCTAAAATGTCAACAGAGAAATCAAGAAGAGGGAAGAAAATGTAGGCAGTCTAATCATTTTGTAAGTTACAAACTCATTTAAAAAAAGCTTTGAAAATGTACGACAGTTGGGTGTTATTATATAGCTATCAAATTTAAACAGTGAATTGCTGTAAAGAATTTTGATGGAATATTTCACAGCAATTCACTGATTACATTTGATAGCTATGTAATAAAACTCAACTCCAATATCTTCAGCACGTGCTGGTAAGAACTTCTGATTCCTTCACCCAAAATACACACCATTCTGAGAGTGGACTGGATTTCTGGAATACATGTTCTCTTTGACAGAACATAATTTTAGCCAACTCCTCCAGGAAGGAGAAGTTATGCTGAAATAGGTTTGTCTGTTTTGGGTATTCACTAGTACAGGGGTGGGCAAAAGGATTTCTGTGGGCTGGATTCGGCCCTCCAAGCATGTTGATCCAGCCCATGGAGGCCCTGCCATTCCCCCACCCCCAGGTTACCCCTAGGCACCCATGCCCCTGGCAGTGGGAGGAGACTTCCCATGCTCTCACCCACATGCTCCTGGCAGGGCAGGAGGAGACTTTGCTCCCCCACCCCTAAACCCTGATTGGCCTGGAGGTTGGGGAGTGAGGGAAGTCTTCTCCCACCGCCAGAGGCATGGGTGCCTAGGGGTAACTTGGAGGGGCCTAAAGGGCTCCCCCACTCCTGGCCTCACCCCTTCTGTTTGAAGCCCCGCCCCTTCCAGTGCAGCCTCAGGCCACTTTAAAAAATTTTGAAGTGGCCCCCAGCAAAAAATTAGTGTCCACCCCTGCACTACCTCAAAAAAAAATCATACAAGCAAAATTATATTCCACTTTGCCATTTGTTCTGCTGTGTCCCCCTTCTGCACTGTTTACAGCCTTCAATAAAGCACCAGATAGAGCTGGAAAAGCTTAGTCAAAAATACAATCTACTGAAAAGGTCATATATATTTTGTGGGAAGCCATCACAATTTGTTAATTTGTTGCCATGAAAAATAATCTAATAGGAACAGGAAGGGCCACACAATTAAACTTAATCAAGGTAAAATGTCAAGACCTATAAACATGGTCATCTGCCTGATCTATTAAAATGCTAAATAAAGCAATGCTTCTCAACTGCTGATCAGAACAGATACACATTGCCAGCTGGTTTACACCCCATCTTTTAGGCCTCTCCAGTTGTTCTGCAAAGATAATGTTAGTCAGAGGCATGAGATGCTGAGGACTGGATGGCTCAGCCAAATACTGTACAGAAACTTTCACCCACAGGAACCTAGTTTGAATCTTATTAGTTTGAGGGTAACCAAGAGGGTAACTTTCTGCTGATTGTTTGGTGACAGATTTAAAATGAGTTCATTGGCCACAGTCATAGCAGAAAGACATTCACCCCTACGACAGGTAAATTCTTTGCAGAAGGAAGGGACAAACCCTGAACAGATACATAGATTGTCCACTAGAATTGCTCTCTCCAGTACCTGGTTAGGCAAAAATCATGAAAGGTATCATGGGAAAGGTTGGACCGCTCAGCTGCTCTCTACTGTAAGTACCCAAAGGTACCCATTCTCACCATAAACATCCTCTAAGCACCTTCGGCCTTGTCCATACTGGTGGCAGCATGTGAGGCTTCATGTTGCAGTGAGAGAGCAGGATGTGTCCACACGATGGTGTGTACATTTGGTTTTAATAGAATTACGATGGTGTGTACATTTGGTATTAATAGACTTAGTAGAGAAAGACTTTGGTAGAGAGCTGCCCGAGCTATTACCCACTTCCTCACCCCTGCCAGTCTCTCACAGTGGTGGGAAAGGCTCCAAGGGGGAGATATTATGCAGCTAAAAATAGCAGTATTGATGTAGGAGGCACTATTTGGGCATGTAGAGAGCTATGTAGAGTTCTACTCACCTAAGGAGTGCTCCTCGGAGCCAGCTTTAGGGAAAATGGTGCACTGGGAAAATCTCTGATCCACTGTATATTTAGTTATTTATCCACAGTGGGACAGCTTCAAACAGGAGAGAAGTCAGAATACCCTGTAGTTTGGTGGTGGGAGACCCCTCTGCAAATTTCTTTCCATTAGGTAGAGGGGGGAATTGAATGAAGGTCTCCTATGGCCCAGGCAAGAACCCTAACTACTGGATGAATAATTATACCTTTTTATGTCCCTTCTCCCTCATAGCCACTTTGCATGATATTAGGCATGCTTATAAAATAGTTTAGGTATCTGATCTCAGGGGATGGTTTCCAACTGCTGATCCTAAGCAAGGACAGGTCCTAAACTCCCAGGCTACGTCTACACTGGCATGATTTTCCGGAAATGCTTTAAACGGAAAAGTTTTCCCCGTTAAAAGCATTTTTGGAAAAGCGCATCTAGATTGGCAGGACGCTTTTCCGGAAAAGCATCTGTGGCCAATCTAGACACGCTTTTCCGCAAAAAAGCCCCGATCGTCATTTTCGCGATCGGGGCTTTTTTGCGGAAAACCCTACTGTGCTGTCTACACTGGCCCTTTTCCGGAACAATTTTCCAGAAAAAGACTTTTGCCCGAACGGAAGCAGCATAGTTTTTCCAGAAAAGCACTGATGATTTTACATTAGATCGTCAGTGCTTTTCCGGAAATTCAAGTGGCCAGTGTAGACAGCTGGCAAGTTTTTCCGGAAAAGCGGCTGATTTTCAGGAATAACTTGCCAGTGTAGACACAGCCCCAGTGAGAAGCAGGGTTTAAGATCCATCATTCTCCTTAGCATCTGCTACTGGCTCACTGAAATGATTCTCCACTCAGCTGTGTAGGAACGAGACCCACAAAAGCTAGCACACTCTCTTGCCATGCGCTGAATAGAGCCTAAGCATTTAATCCAGGTCTTATTGCTATGACTGGGCAGGTAGCACCTAAAAGTTAGGCCTTGCAACAGCTAAATTCCTTTGTAGATAAGATAGGGCTTCAGCGAAGATGTGCAAGTTTTTCATAGTGAAACTTCAAAACCAGGCAATAACTGGCCAGTTCTTTCAGCTACTTCATCAAGAACCAACATCAGGGATATCTGATTGTAACCTGGCCTCCAGTGATATCTCAGAGTAACCTCATACTTTGAAGTACAATGGGAAGTTAACTTTAATTTAACAAGTATGGCAATCTCTTTAATAAGCCTTTGGCTTTTAAGTTTCTAGATCCAATACTTTCAGATGGCTGGGATACTTGTGAACACCAGGACTTTCATACACAGTCTACCTTATAAGCGTTCCTGTAACCCTGAGTTAAGCATTAAACCTGTACCATTCTATTAGGAATGTTCATATTCTTAATATACTGAATTTTAATCCATATTAGAAAATATAGTGCATCTCTAAGTATTTAAAAATGTTTATACATGCCTAGATATCACTATCTAGACAAGAGTGCAGAAAATGAGCTAGAGAAGACACTTGCACATAAATGTTGAGTGTTTATTGATGGAAGTTACATGTGCAGATTAAGGAGGATTACACAAGGAGAGGTTCATATTTTAGTGTACTGAACAAATTATGGGACTCACTAATGCATGGGATTTAGTCAATGTATTTATATACCAGTGGATTATTGGCTTCTGACATGTCCAGCCCTTACCTAGGCTCACCCTCCAGTCTTTAATAGCACCAGCTGCTGGATTGAAAAAATATAAAGGCATTGCAACTTACTTTAGTGCAGAAATCCTGGGTTTATCAGTGGTGTTTTTCCAGTCGACCTCAACTTTTCTTTAAGAAGGCTGCAAGTCCAAACAAAGCATTCCTCATTACTTTAGGGTCAGGCCTCAGCTCTCTGCAGCCACAGAATTCTAACTTTTTTTTCCTTTTACAAAAGAAGGAAATTTTCCTAACTTCACAACTCCCAGACTTCTTTTGTCTAGATTTCAGCTGGTGCAACAGCCACCAGTTGCTCAAGCCCTGACAACAGGCACAGATTAATTATTCTAATCAGTCATTCCAGGAAGACCCAATTAAGTGCAATCAGCTACTCATTTTACTCCATTCTTGGTCTCTTTCCTTCTCCCTGCTACAGATATTTTACCTTTGCATTTTTAACCTACCTACTGAACTCCACTTAGAAGTTGGCCTTTCTACCCCAGGCTCTTAATATTTAGGGAAACCACAGATTGTTTTAAAATGCTACATTTTGAGCCAAGGCACCTAATAAAACCCAGGCTTCTCTTTAAAAAAAAAATCACAGTGATGGAAAAACAACCCTCATATACACATCATGAATGGGCTGCAAAACTGTTCCCCATGTGTGGACAATTTTAGATTCCTCTCATGTACTCTTGAGGAATTCTCAAGTTAGTCTCCTGGATAAAAAATTTCAGTTTGAGAAGCATTATATCAAGGAAATAGAGGAGCAAGATCCTCTTACTCTGAGGGTTTTTTTTTCAAATACACCTCTCTCTTTCTCTTCCTCCTACTCTTCAGTACGGTGCTGGGAATCTGTCAGCAACACAGCTCTGTTTTCTTTCTATCGATAAATCCCTTTAATAAACTAGGCAGACGGACACTGTAGAAGGATACATTTCTTCCCTGTTGGCATTTCTGGTACTGCAGTGTTTATGTAGCAAGAGGTTTCCAGTTCACATGATTCTCTGGAACAGAGGCTCAACAGTGCTCACTTAGCAAAATTCCAGCCTAGCAGAGTGGACACAGTGAGAAATTTCTCTACAAGTCTAGAAAGAACGAATCCATTTCATTCTAATGAAAAAGTAGTATTTCTCTCCCCCCACCCCCTAGTTATAGAAGCCTCAACTTTATGGAATTAGGCTGCCTGTCTCAGAGGAACTCTGTAAACACCTTCAAGTGGAAGTGTCTGAGAAGAATAGTCACTGAAATATTTGGGTGAAGAGATATTAAATAGGAATGTAAACAATTAAAAACTCCCAGAGAATACATAGACATTTGATTGTAAACAGCTCAGTGCAGGACCTACTGTTTGCTACCTGTATGCAGTGCCTAGCACAACAGGAAATTGGTCCTCTTTAGAGCTGGCTAATAATAGCCACCTCAATACAAATGGTTAAGAAATGAAAGGGGAGGTCAGTGTTCATGTACTAGCCACTTTCAGAAGAGATTGTGGTGCTCATGAAAGGAAATGGGTTTATAATGTTATTAATCTAGCAATATTAAGAGCTGTGGCAAAAGTCTCACCACAGGACTCTTCTAGAAAGTGGAGACTGCCACAGGAGAACAGCACTTACATTACAGAGTTACTTGTGGAAGGGGAAAGTGAGAAGAGCACAGCTGATGACACGGCCTTTAAACAGAGGCCTGGGATATCCTCTTTTGGAGATACTTACCTGTAACAAAATTCCCAGATCAAGTCTTCCATAGTGAATAGCAATTTTTTACACCATATAAGCATCCTGAGTGTTATTTCCATACCTAATGGCAAGAAGACAGCTATTTGCCTACACAGCCCCCTTTTTTCCTATTTAAGAGGAGGATACTTATTCATTGGATTATTATGAATAAGACCAACTTTTTTAAAAAAGCTATATTTAAAGTTTTGTCTGTGTTCTTTCTCTCTCCATCCTCTGACTGCCAGATGTTGGCCCTTGCACAGATACAATCCTTGAAGTGAATGGAGTCTGCACGTAAGTCCAGAATGAAAGTACACATTCATAGTAATCTATTATTCCACCTGAGTTCTGTCTTTAGTAATGAAATGTAATCTCAAAAATGAAATCCAGGCTTGGCTGCTCCAGGATTCCTTTGCTCAGATTAATTCTGTCCTAGAAGTGAATTCTGTCCTAGATTTTAATGGTCTTCAGGTGCCTGAAGATGCAGCTAAGCACCTAGTGGAGTTTTCAGGAGCACTTATGTCTAAGTATCTTTGAAATCAAAGAGTTATACACCTAGGAACTTCTAGAGAAAATGCACTACAATTGCTTATCTGCATCTTGAAAAATCTAGCCCCCAGTCCCTCTACCAGTGACTTAATCCACTTTAAATGAGAAGAGTTGGCAGTGAAAGGGTTCTTACGTTCCATGCCTGGATCAATGTGTCAACATTAGTTAATTTGAAGCTTCCAGCAGGTTTCAGATACCTACTAAGAGTGATTCCTGCTACCTTTTCACAAGTTCTTGAAACAACTGTGGGACATCCACAAAAAGTTCTGAAGAAGCACTAGAACAAATAGTATCATTATTTGTTACAGAGTTTGCTAGAATTCCATGATGCTAATGCAAGTATGGAAATCTAACAGCTCCCTACGGCTGCTAAAGACATATGTAAGGAGGTAGGATAAAAAAAGATTCACTCACAGCTAATATACTTCAGGTAAATATCTGAATATTTGATTTGTAATGGGATATCTGATCTGTCCTGAAGATTTTTAATGTGAGGAGATGGAGCATTAAGTGTGGTTAACAATATTAGCAACTGGGTAACAAAAGCTAGCTGAATACTGATAAAAGATAACTTGGTAAACAAGAAGTTCTCGAATATCAGACAGCTAACTGTCTTGCTGAAGCTTCTTGCTGAAGCTTACAGCTAGTGATAGTTTGCTTTCTACAACACTTATTAAGAGACAAAACACAGTATGCACTGAGGTAATGACTCTTGGCAGAGGTACAAAGCAGCAAAACAGTCTCTGAAATATAGTGCATTATAGCATTAACAGGGCCAATATCAATTTCCAGCTGCTTTACACATTTTCTCCTCCCTTTCCTCCCCTGGATATTTGACCTATGTTTATATTCTTCATTTTTATATCTGGCTTATTTGTCTGAATTGCAGTTGCTTTTAGAAAGCAGTTGCTTATAAAACTATATTGTAGGCCTGTCCTATAGTTTAGGAGTAGCCATCTCTTTAAATAGAAACAATCCTTGGCCAACAAGGACGCCACAATTTACTCACAATTTTGTAACAAGCAGGCTGCATCTAGACTGGCATTATTTTGTGCAAAAGCTACTGCTTTTGCACAAAATCTTGCCGCCTGTCTACACTGGCCACGAGGATTTTCGCAAATCAGTGGTTCTTGCCCAAATACTCTGACTCTCCCGCTCAGGGATAAGCCCTCTTGCGCAAGTATTCTTGAGCAAGAGGGCCAGTGTAGACAGCAACATTAATTTCTTGTGCAAGAAAGACCGATGGCTAAAATGGCCATCAAAGCTTTCTTGTTCAAGAGAGCGTCTACACTGGCATGGATGCTTTTGCACAAAAGCAAATCTTTTGCGCAAAAGCACATGCCAGTATAGATACTCCCTTGCACAAATACTTTGAATGGAAAAACGTTTCCATTAAAAGTATTTGCGCAAAATCATTCCAGTCTAGACGCAGCTGCAGTGTTTGTCCACTTAGGTGCAGAGCTGGCAAATTCTTCATCAAAACACATGCTTTGTAGGAACCTCCTCCCCCCAGACAGTCACATAAACAAATGGAGAAAAAGTTGAAAGTTAAATTTGATTTAAATGTGTTCTGGTGTTAGCAATGATGAGAGAGAGAAATGACACCTTTGGGCAAGTAACCCCCCCCCCCGATTAAAGCTTTCTCTCAAAAGAACTTTAGTTTGTTAAGACCCAAGCAGCACAAATGCCTCATAGTTCTAAGAAATTATATTTTCTACACTCTAGATGGCCTTGAGGTCTATCCAGACATAAATTTCTATACTTCTACTCCAAAACCATGAAAACTAGCAGTTAATGCGTCATGAAGTGGTGCTTTTATTTATATATATATATCAGTCCCCATGGATGGATCCTCAACAACAGTGGTTTCTTTATTTAAAAAAATAACTCTACACACAAGCATTGTTACCTAGGGTGATTGTTTGATCTTAGTGGACTAGGTTTAAGAGATGCAGCACCTTTGGTGGTAATATCTTCTTCCAGACAAACAGGAGATGCCTCACAGTATTATTGCACCACCTTATCTTGAGTTTATTGATCTTCTATCTTTAAGGAAGGGACTGCCAAATCTGGGGATAAAAAAACAAATCAGGGAACATTTTCCAATACAAATCTCATTACAATAGTTCAAAAAGGTGCCTTTCAGGTAATGAGATGAACTACTACTAAGATTTTGCATCTTTTATATATTTGTGGGGTTAAGCGCACACACACTTTGCAGGAGGGGAAAAAAAGCAACAATGTTTCTAGCAGGCAAAAGTTGCTCCTGAAATATGCATTGTGGACCAAAGTCCACATAAAAAAAGTACAGCATTGTTTCTAACAAGGACCAACTCCCACCAGAGAGGCATATTTCTAACCTTGAAAAGGAAATGCAGGTCTACAAAGACAATGATCTGAGTGAAGAACTGAGTCACTTTCAACCCTATTTCAATCAGCTCTTCATTTGAGTCTTCAGTCTGCTGAATGAACTCATACCTGAAGATGAATATAGAGAGAAACAGAGGGTAGAACGTTAAGAAAGGGCAACAAAAGTTTTGAGGGCAGACAGAGTATATTCCATGCCCTAAGGTAGCTGGAGAGCTCTCACTTTGAAGACCTACAGTACGGTTCTCTTATTGTGACACCGCACATGATTACGCCAAACAATTCTCTACTCCTTAGATGGGCTTATGCAGAAGTAGACAGGGACTTACAATTGTCATTATCACCTAGAATCATGTTTGCGTTGTGATTCACTATATTGAAGGGTCTATGTTTAATGGTACCAGTATGAACCTTAAACAAAGGGGCAAACACTAAGTATTAGGCACATATTAGGATATCTTATTTGCTACCTCTTAGGAAATTAGTTTCAAAGAAAGTTTTTTTATATAATGATGCATTCCTG